ATGTTCTTATTAGGGTTTATTTATTCTGTTGGTCTTCTTTGACTATTTCTTCTGTGTCACTGATCAATGTGTAATTTTCTTTTTACCTGTACAGGGACCTCTTCTTGTCCAATCACCTCACCGTCTGGCAGTGGGACCGTCTCCTCATAGTAATAATCAGTCTCTGTAGGGGTGTGGCCAGCCTCGGAATATTCAGTGTCTACATCCTGATTGGTCAAGTTGACAGGAATTGGGGAGCAGGGAGGAGGTAAGCAGATTTGATTTGAAGAGCGAGGTTAGTTCAAAGTCTGCTTGTAAGTGATGATGAGTTAAAAGAAGAAAATGGAACACATCATAAAATTGTGGTTGCCAGCGGCAAAGACATTTTTACAGGCAACTCACATTTTTTAAGTTGTAAAGATCCATTTTGAAAAGAAATTTCAGGTAGGTTCAGAATCTCAATAACTATAAATGTTGCCATATGCAAGATTTAGGGAGTCACTGAGACTACTTTTCTGAGATTTCTTTTCATTGTATTGTTGAACAAGTTTTGCCTTTTAAAGCTCACAAAGCCAAGATTCATTAAAGGGTGAAGTCTGCTCTTATTGGAAGTAGGACTGAGAGTCTCTATCCATCCCTTAAGATAAAAACATCATAACTTGATGCTTTGGGATGTCTAGTTTCACCCAAGACCAGAAAACAGAGAGACAACCCTAATCAACAGCCTCACAGAACATTGTTCAGTTACTTCAATGTAACAGTTAACACAAGCTATAAATTCTCCAGAATCCATTAATGACCATGAACCTCCCAGTGTTTCTCTAACTTGAATCACGTTAGCTTCATAGTAGACTACACATTAAATTAAATTTAACATCTAATGAAAGCACATTTAAAGCTTGCTTTTTACTTTCTGTGAGGCTGCTTTATTCATATTTAATACAAAATATATCTAGAGACAGGGAAACAGGTGTCAGAGAGAAAACACAGGTACTTAAAAAACAGAGAGAAAATGAGAGTGAAAGGGGGAGTTTTGTTGTGTTGCTTGTGTATAGAATGTGATAGTATTTGTGTTTTCTCAGGTTTAGTTTTTGTGCCATAGCAATCCATGCTCATTCATTTGATCGGTACGTTAATGGTTTCCCCCCGAAAAGAAAGAGACGGAGTGCTGGAGTGTATTCAGATTCTGAGATCCAGTTTCAGCAGCTGGAAGGTAGGAGTATGAAGTGAAGTAAAGAACAATGAAACTGTACAATTAGCCATGCTTCAATGTGCACCGCTGTATCATATCATATGGAGAAGTTGGGGTGATCATGAAGATCATATGATATATAAACAGAGGAGAAGGCACCCAGCTTGGTATTAACCAACTTCCATTCTGAAGACCAGACTGTCCACCATCAAGGATTTACCTCAAAATGTATACTGCCAGTCATCTATTGCAAGATCAAACTTTTGAACCCCCAAAATGGTAAAATTCAAAACACACAAAAATTTGTTGCAGACCCTGAATGGTGGAAAGATCTGGCAACCAGGTGGGACAGCTGGGACATACCACTCTGGCCATTCTGACCCAAACATGGGCCCTCCTGTTGTACCTGTTGATAACCGTTGGTAATTTTCTTCTGTGAGACTGCAGTTCCACTCAGCACAGTCTTGCCAAAGGGTGGGAAGGGTTTGTGTTGGGATTTGACATTAATGTCCACCAGCACCTTGGATTTCGTGGGTCTGGGTGGAGTAGGCCGAACAGGGGCAGGTGTTGGAGCTACTTTCTTTGGGATGGAAACCTTTTCGACCACTTTCTTCACTACTTTGCTCACCGGTGATTTGACCAGAGGGACCTTGGTGACCACAGTTTTAACTTTGACTTCTTTGACCTCTGCCTTTACTTGAGTTTTTGCTGCTGGAGCTTTGGTGGCCACGGTCTTTGCCATTTTTGTAGGTTCAGGTTTTGATGCTTTTGTGGGTTTAGGTGCCTTTGTAGCTTCTACTTTGACAGCTGATTTAGCTGCACTGACCACAGTCTTCTCTATCTTTTCTACTTTAACAACTTTTTCAGTCTTTGCTTTTGTAGTGGTTTCAATTTTTGCCTGATTTGCAGCACCATTACTAATGGCTTTCTTTTCTACCACAGTAATAACTTTGCCATTGCCATTAGCCTTAGCCTCACCATTGACTTTATTTTCAGCTTTTCCATTAACTTTGACTTTAACCTCTTTAACTTCAATGGTAGTTTTACCATTTCCATTGGCTTTCTTCTCTGCTGTAGCTTTGCCATTTCCATTATTCTTAGACACAACAGTGGCTTTTCCATTTCCATTGGCTTTCTTTTCTGCTGAGGATTTTCCATTTCCATTACTACTGACTTTCTTCTCAGCTACAACCTTGCCATTGCCATTCACTTTGGCCTGAGCTGTAGGCTTGGCATCAACTGTAGCTTTGCCATTGCCATTTGTTTTTGCTACAGCGGCTTTTCCATTGCCATTACTATTGGCTTTAGCGGCACCATTTGCTTTCTTTTCAGCAACTGGTTTACCATTGCCGTTCTTAGCTGGGGCAGCTGTGGGTTTAGATTTAGCTGCTGCTGTTGGTTTGATCTTAGACAAGAGGATCTCTACTGCAGTGGGCTTGGCTTTGGATGGCTTGGCTGTGGAAGACTTTGGAGCTTTGGTGGGCATAGGCAACTTGACTACAAGTTTGGATGGTCCAGTCTTGGCCGGCTTAGCTGGAATGGGTTTCAGTTTGACAGGGGTGGATTTAGTCGGGACTGCTTTTCCATTGAGCACCTTCTTCTATTAGCCGTAATTATTGTTTGGTTGAGATGTTGTTTAGTATGTAAAAGTGCATATTGATAAATATAGTGAGAGAGAGTGGAGGAAGACAATGATACATGGAAGGGTTGGGAGGGGGATGAAAAGCACAAACAAGGGATGGACAGAAGGAGAGAGAAAGACAAGAGTGGATGTTTTGAGAAACAATGACATAAAGATGGCCAAGGCTTGGATGATTTACTGAGACTGTACAGGCATTACTGGATACAGCAGATGATTATTACAAGTTTTAAAACAGTAAGCAAAAATACAAATGAAAAAAGTACCAGCACTTAAACAAATTCAAAATGCAAATTTCATGTCTTTTGAGTTTTTTTTTGCTGATCTCTCCAGTAATGCCATTCCCAATATTAAATGACAAAGCAGCATCTTTGTGCTAATATGAACTGGAGCCTGTGGTTTGGCAGAGGCACTGAGGGTGTGACTGGTCAGGTAAAGCTGATGCTGAACATTCACACACTGTACAGGCATACACACAATACACACACACACACACAGAGACACACAGAGTTTATAATGCACTGAGCAGTCAAACTGCAAGATAGAGAAGGTTAGTGCTATTTAGCCATGCAAACGAAGGAGCGTGGATGCCAGGCTAGAATGCAAATGCATGTTAGTCAAATAAAACCACTAAATGAAAACAGCAGTACATGATTAATTGGTACTACTCATACTGCTATAATATAAATACATGCAAATTAACATTGTAAACAAACTGACAAAGATTTCACCCAAATAATATAGTTTGAAGGAAAAACAAGCCATCATCGTAAATATAAACTTCTTAAATATGCAATACAGAACACAAACAGACTTAAAGGAGACAGAATGTGGAATGCATCTCTGTCATGTATGCCATACAAAGGTCAGATGTACAACCATGAATGCATATACCAAGACAAAAACATGTGCATTGATATTCCCATGTTGAGAAGAAAACTGATAACGCAGAAGTACAGTAGGTGCATGCGGTGACATCCTCCAAGACAATTATGAAATCATGCAAGTAACAAGACAATACAGACACATGCCCTGGTCAAATAGTATTGCAAATCTGTGTTTTTTTGTGATCAACTGTGAAGCCAAATAGGTGTGGTTTATCATAAAAGACTGTGCCAGAAAATTTTATTCAAACAATCACAGGAAAGCATTTGAAAGTAAATTTGTGATTACAAACTTAACACCCATCTTGTGACAAACTTAATCTATATTGTACAGAACATTTACAACGACTATTTGACCAAGATCAGTTTAAGAAAAGGCTACTCTGGCACATTCTTAAGTTTTTCCTATGCTAAGTTGTATTTGCATGGCCTCCTTTCTTAACCTTTTGTCAACGGTCTCCAAACATGCCAAACATAAACATAAACTTGGTCTCTTTAAATTCTCAAAAGATTTTTCCTCTATTTGGTGGAACAGGATATGTGAAGAAGGATTAAAGATTGAAGTAGAGAAGATTGTGAGAAAAAGTGTACGTGGGTCTAACAAAACAGCTGCACCTACACCTCCCCAGTGCCCCCACTTGGCCACATCCGAACACACATACATAAATGACAACATGTAAATTACATGAGAACAAAAAATCATCAGGAGCAAAGGTAAACCTGTGTGATGGAGACGGTAGAAACGGATGTGTTAAGGGTCAATGTGGATTAAAGAAAAGGTGAAATGTGAATGAAACAAAGAAGGTATGGAGTGATGAGGGATGAGAGAGGCATATGGAATGCTAAACGTGAAAATGTATATTTTCAAACATTTTAGGAAAAGTAAATTTAGTTGACGCTGAAATATTCAGCAAGCTAAACCTATATATTATGAATTAAGCCATTATTGCTTTAATTACCCTTCTCTCACTCTCATTCTCCTTTCCTTCCACAAACCCTGCTTGGGTTTTCCGTCTCTCTTGCTCCCTCTTTACCTGTTGATTGGGGTCCCCAGGTTGGGGAGAGGGGGACGCAGAGGAGGAGGGAACGCCTGTTGTTTCCTCATAATAATAGGGGTATTCACGGTCATCCTGCTCCTCATCAAAGTACTGAGAGAGATGTGGGGTTTGAAAGATTGAAACATGGGAAGGGTGGGTTGGCGGAGGGGAGGAAGATACATTAAAGCAAGAGGAATGGAGGGAGATAAATGCATGAAGAGGGGGAGAGTGGATTTCCAAGGGGAGGTGAACAGGGTTTGCAGAGGACACAGGTACAGCAAGAGGGGGAAAAATAAAACATGGTGATAGGCAGCAAGAGACAGCAAAGGAGATGATAAAAAAATGCAAAGCTTTTATTTTTACATTCATCAGAAGGAGTCTGTGTTGCTGGTTAAGATGTTGATATCAAAAATGTCCATATATACACAGACGACCTTGATGAAGCAAAAAATAAAGCAATGGGTGTAGCCAATGAATAAAACCACACTGATTTATATTCATTCAAAAAGCAGTCATTTCAACAGCATCAACATGACAGGGTTTGGGACGCAAGGTGTTGGAGCTCTGTACAGTGACTGATACAATTTGTATTGACTGGTCCGACATGCAGGCTTATAAAACAAAGGTCATGTACTTTGGATGAATGAATGCAGATGAAAAATCACTTGCTAGTTCAGCTCTTTGCTGGTGTCAGGGAACTGTCAGCTCCCAAATATCAGTATGTTCTTGAGAGAAAAAGAATGAGGGAGAGCTTGCAAAGCTTAATGTAACGTGCACAACCAGTCTCAGTAAGCAAAGAGGCTCCACCTTAAGCCATCTTCATGCCAAATACTAATATGTCTCAATTTAACCAGAGAACCAATCAGAATTTAACTTCATTTGCATGTTTTATGTTCTGGACAAGTTCTCTTTCGTTCAATCCATGGGAAAAAATTGGGAAAGACACTGATGTTGGCTTGTATCATCCTCTTTCCCCTACCTTTCTGTGTTCCATTGCAGTAGAGCAAAACAAAAGTGACAACTAGTTCACTGCTGTAACAAATCAAGCTTGTGTTTCTCCAACACGAAGGGTATGAAATGATGGAAATGTACCTATTCATAGAGGTGTAGTTAGGGAAAGGAATGAGATGACAATGCCTCTGCTCTTCTTTAGTTACTCCAGGGACACACAGACCGAGGAGGTGAGGAGGAAAGTGGATGGATACAAACTGTTGCTGATGACGGGGATGCGTGAGGAAGACAGAAAGGGAGAGCAGCACTTTGATGACATTATCAGATGACCCAAATTAAACCTGAGGACTTTTTTTCATTTTCAGTGGACTTGTGCATTTAGTGTGGCCGTTGCCACACTATCAGACCATATTTTCATGTAGTGTAGCTTTACTAACACATGGAAACAGACTCTTCTTGTACAGACTGAATGTCTATGTCTTTAGCTAATGTCTTTAGCTAACGCAGACATAATGCATTTAGGGACATTTTTTCTGCACCAGTTCACAAGTTGAGAGAGTTAATTAGAGTCAATTAAGAAGATTCCTAACTGACTTAGGGTTAGGTGACCCAGGAATATCTAAGTGACAGCAATGATATGATAAGACCTTTTCAATTTTTATGTTTTAGCACTTGTTGCTTTTTCCTAAATTCTCAACATTTCTCTTCATATTATTCCTTTATCTCACGGCTGGTGAAAAAAAAACAGTGGTGAGAAAAGAACAAAACATTCACATTCAGATCCAGTGAATATTTCTTTGTTCATTTTCCTTCGTCAAGTAAATCATCTTTTTAAAAGTGCCACTGAAAAGGAGAACAGAGTCCACAGGTTCTGTTTTGGTCTGCTTTATTGGAGCTACAGATGAGCCTATAATTTTATGAATGAGTTAGCATAGTGCTGATGATTTTAGGTTATCTGCTCTGTAATGGATGCTACTCAGTAGTCATTGGGACTATGGAATTTGTGTGTGTATTTACTTTGTGTGAACAACTGACACATATAGCAGTTACTTTTTTAAGAGGTGTGAGTGAAATGTAAAGGCTGGTTACTGTACCGTTGTACCCTGCGGGTAGGTTGTACAAGATAGTTATTCACTAAGAACGTTACTTGTTGATTGACTTATTCATATGTCTGCATATACGTCTGTGTATGAACTTCTGTTGTGGGGGTGTTACTCACGTATGTGTTGGGGTCCTGAGCCTGGGTCTTGGGCAGTGGGGAGTCACAGTCAGGGCTGTAGTGTTCACAGAAGTCATAGGCAGCCTGGGGGTTGGAGGCAATCAGCAGTTGCTGGATATCTCCCTGTGAAGAAGAGAAAAAAACAGATCAACAAAAAACTGAACAGCTGCATCATCTATTATGGGACTTAGTGAAAACTTCTAAAGTATTAAGTATTAATGTTTTTAACTTTTCACTTGTAACTGTGTTAACTGACCCAAAAATGTAAAAACACTAGAGCTGCACAATTAGTTGAAATATTACTGAAATCGCAATATAAGTGCAATACGACCTGGCCTACAAATCTTGATCTTCAGGTGTAAGAAAACATGTTTGTTTGATATATACCCAAACAAATCGCAAAACATAACACAATCGCAATATCTGTCAAAATAATCGCAATATGATGTTTTTACCATTTTGCGTAGCCCTAAAAAACACATACCAAAAACACCAACAAATATATGAATATAATATTTACCTATTCAAACTTTTGTCCCTTGCAAGTTATGCCTATCAAGGTCCTCACCTGGAAAACCTCTTCATCAAGCAGACGGGCTCCGAACACTGTGATGCCATTGGTGTCAACCTCTGCGTTGTTGCCACGGGGCAGGGGACGGGTCATCTTCTTCTTGCAGTCCAGCAACAGTGTCACGTTTTTCTTTGAAACAGAGAGAGCGATGCGGTGCCACCTAGAGACAAGGAGGAGGAAACAAAGGCGAATAAATGTGTAATGTGACTACAGGCCTAATTAAAAAGATATCAGATCAACCCTCAAATCCCATGCACATTCAAATCAGTCACTCACAAAGATACTATTCCCAACCACTCACAACCACACAACCCCAATCGTGTCATCTCAACCAGTCACAAACTGGTTGTTGCTGGTTACTGACTTGCCATCAGCCAGGTTGACGCCTCTGAACAGTGGGTAGTCCTCAGGGGCTGGCTTGCCGTTCTGGTCCTCGTACAGGAAAACAGGTGAGCGTCCCAATTCGATGCCCAGCTGCTGGATGCCCTGCTCGCTGTAGATGGAGAGGAGGAAGGCCTGGAGACCAGCCTGGGCCTTAACCAGAGCCATGATGGAGAAGTTCTCTGGGAACTGACCTATTGATGAGGGAAGGAAGGGCAGGGAGGAGAGAGACAATGAAAGAAGGAAAGGGTTTGATCATGAACATGGGTCATTGGCTTGTAGGTATTTTACAAGGACAAAAATTAGGAAAAGGAGGCAGTCACATAAAAAGGAGACAAAAAACGGTACACAGGAGGACGGAATGTAAACTGAACTGGAACTTGCACCAGGTGATTTATTTATCAGTAGAAAAAGAGAATAGGTTTCAAGCAGGACAGATGGATGGTTGGGGAAGGAAGGGACAAGAATGGAGTCGTAGTGCAGGATGAGAGGTAAGATGAGAGCTTTAAGTGATTAAAGTAAGAGAACTGTGTCAGGATCAACTGATTTTAGAAATATCAGAATATATCCCCTTGTGAAGCTGGCACAGATGATGAGGACACATAATGACAGGTGGGCAAAGCTGGAGAAGGGAGGCTAAACCTCAGAATGAGTTGAAAATCAGCTTTGACATTTGACGATTTCTTCAAAACCACATAAGTGCTACTTTCTCTTTTTTCTCCTTACTCTTGGGTGTCAGACAGTATACTAAAGTTAATTTGTTATGGCTCTCCCACACAGTTTAACTGAGCTCCTGCATTGCAACACATAATTATACTTTATATCCATGAGGAATCTAGCATAGGGCACAATAGCCTCACTTAACTCAGCTCAGTTTAAAATACATCCAAATGTATGTAGCAACCTATAAGTCTAATTATAGGTTTCTGCACTATGGAAATCATAGTAAATATGTTAAATAGGTTTGTATGTATATGTACTTTTTAAAAGTTTAACCCATGGCTCAGTCTGCTTCATTACCAATGACAGTTTCCTAAGAAAGTATCCACTATAGCCAATGGTGTTGTTATGGATACCACTGTGCAATCATTTTGAGGCTGGTTAAACTGTTGGGGACCTGTGTTGTAAACCTGTGCGTTTAAGGTGTCTGGTTTGAACCAACAAACACCTGCAACTTGCAAAATAATTAGAAACCAGTAATAAATGTTGTGTTGTGCAGTCTGAAAATACATACATGCACAAACAATTTTAACAACAACTTTTTGTGGTAAATACTATACCAAAATAAAAGTAAAATTCTAACACCCAAATTTCAGACCTATTACTATTACTATATATATATATATACTATTCCATATTAGTATATTATATACTATATTTACTTGGGAATAACTGACATTGCCATAGTGGCAAGATATCACAGCATGTGACAGATAGACAATTAACCTTATGGCAATTTACAGAGCAGTCTCCTCAAATACTCAAATGACCTGATTTCCAGTCTAGCTGAGGCCTACCTGAAAACAGCTGCTTGGTGGGGGCAGAGATCTGGGCCTTTTTGGTGATGCGGTAAGCATGATCGGGGGTGCCGGAGCGACGGGATGTGCAGAAGCCAGGGACTTTCTTCACGCCCTCGGGGAGAGAGGGAACCTGCAGAGCCCGCAACACATCCACTGGGTCTGAGGAAGAGAAGCAAGAGCAGAACATTTTCATTAGATCTCTTAACAAACAACTTATTAGAATAGTCGCCATGCGTGACACAGCAGCTTAATTTGATAAGTTAACAAATTAAATGTCAAAGCTGAAACTTCCCCAGAAATTCTGTAATGTTACATCAGTAAATTACACATATTCACCAATAGTCCAGCTTGTCTGGAAAACCTAAAATACAACATCTAACTCTTTAGTTCTACTTTTTGTATCACTTTATGGGGCTATAAAGGTGTACATGTAGCAAAGCTGTTATGTGTAAATGGATGGAAATGTTGCAGCTCTACTTTATGAGTTATACAGATATCCTGTGTATTTGCATAAACATGCAAACAATTACCCACATACGTACATCAATAACAGCCTAATTTTACATTTGTTTCATGCTGATAAAGACAAAGAAAAATAGATATTTTAATTACAATATTTTAGAAAAAAATCACAAATCATGGTTTTAGGGGAGCTTGTGTCTTATTAAGAGGGGCCAAGCTCCCTCTGGCTCCCTTGTAGTTCACACCTGGCTTTTCAGAAGGCCCATCATCCTACAGGCTCTATAGAAATCACTATAAAGGTCAAGATTTTTTAAAGCTTACTCCTATACTCCTGAAATGTTGCAGA